AATACCCTTGATGTTTTCCAGCAGATTAGGAAGTTTAGAGTATTTATATGTTAAATAGAAGATTATTAACACCTCATCTACTCTGCAGAAAGCATTTGTTATCCTACAGTTCTGCTCCCAAATATTGAGACCGTTTAATAATAAAACTCTGCCTATTAACAAAAGACAAGCTCAATGAAGATTTTTTGAATACATGTTGGTGAAAATCTCCATATTATAGGAGACATCAGAATAGAAATGATCTCTCCATAATGTTTTATTTATGACCAAATCGTACAGAAAACCTTTCAATGATGTCATGCATAAATTTGAATTCTGAAACAGACACAAAAGTTTGGTAAATCTATAGTGAAAAAATTCCTCTGCTCCTACTAAGATTTGAAAATGTGTTAATTATATAACAGCATCAATAACAGTGCAGCATTCAAAATGTATTGAATCCTCTCGGAATGAAGGTAATTTTTTGCTTCATGGAACGCTTGTCACTCCTTTCTGTGGCTCCCCGGCTCCCCGCAGGTTCACCCCGGAGCCCTGGTCGGCCTGCAGCACCACGTGTGGGCCGGGCGTGCAGGCCCGGGAGGTGAAGTGCCGCGTGCTCCTCGCGTTCACACAGACGGAGACGGAGCTGCCGGAGGAAGAGTGTGCAGGCCCCAAGCCGTCCACCGAGCAGCCTTGCCTCCTGGAAGCGTGTGACGGGGACCCTGCCTCCCACCAGCTGGACACCTCTCCCCAGGAGAAGGACAGTGACATGACTTACGACTGGGAGTACGCTGGCTTCACCCCTTGCACGACAACGTGTTTGGGAGGTATTTGACCCTTGCAAATGGGGCAGCTGTGTCTTGTGTGGCTAACAGTTGGAGAGACGATTAGCTGAGCTTGAGCCAAACATCCATGTTGGCAAGACGCTAAAGGGGGTTAAGTCATTCGAATAGCTGCAAACTATGCCTTTTCTTTCATTTTGCATTATGATTCTATATTCTAGGAAGATAAAGGAGAGCGGGACTCTACCCTGACCACAAAGTTAGGTTCCTTTGGCCTGAGCACCTGCATAAGCCAGGTGGGGAGAGAGCAGCTGATGAATATGGAATAAAAAGGAAAATGCAGAATTGAGGTCAAGGCAGTCTTGTGCATAAACCAGTGCTACAGATTGGGGCCGCCCGGGATTTACCGTCTCTGGTCTGCTCTCACTCAGAAGTCATCCTCAGAACATTTAGGTCATCTCTGCACACTGGGCCAGAAACCAGGGCAGAACACACATGCTGAGATGCGCGTGTGTGTGTGAGGAACACGCAGAACCGGTGGCCCTGCTGGGGCCGGAAGAGCAGTGCAGTCAGGCGGCCCCATGAGGTGGAGGTTGGCTCCGGCCGACTCAGGCATCCCAGGGTCCCAAAGGGAGTGGGCGAGCAGGGGGCAGGAGCCCAGACGGGCCTTCTCCAGGGCTGTCTCTGCCGGCAGGGAAAAGATAGAAATAACCAATCGGAAAACTACATCTTCTGTTCACATGAAGGAGACTCGTCTCTTCAGGAACCCAGAGCTCCTGACCCCTTGCCCCTTGACTCGAGCTGTCATGGGGAGACCTGGGCTGCACATGCTCTGCCCTCAGTCCTGCCCACGGAGGAGAGACGGGAGGGGCTGCTGCCTTCTGGGGCAGTTACAGGCATACTGCACTCCCCCAGGCGGCCGCAGACCTGTTAGTAGGAGCTCAGGCCTGGTCGCTGTGCCTGAACCCCTACCCTTTCTTCCCCAGACCCAAGTAAATTCTCGACCCTTCCCATCCAGTCCCGTGACGTAATGGTGTCTGTCTTTCTCCTCTCCTGCCTTATTCAACC